GTCAGTTGACACTTCAGTAATACCATGCTCCCTTTGAAATGGCATCACGTCGTGGACACGACTCATTTGTTGTGCATGTTATAATTGCTCTACAACAATCTTATGAATCTCTATTCCATTTTCGTTCCATTTTACCACTTTGTCTTGGTGTTCAAAATGATACTTAGTGACCTGATAAAATATCGACTACACACAAGCTGTTATGGGCAAATACCTAACACTTTGTAGAACACTATTAAAAACCTTTGAAATGTTGGTTGTCATGATGTCATATCGTCGTCCACCATCATGGGCCAATGTTCACTTCTCCAATGGTATATCAGTCAAATATTTATACGTTTTCTCTTTGACGTTCCGTATCTGGGTCATCAACTCATAGAACTTGCAAACCTGTCTTGCCTTTTCAGCCCTCCACATAAGATCGCACAAATGTGCATCCTTAAACTCTATGTTAAAATTACTACAAATATGCTGAACACAAAAGTGATGATAACCATGTGGTGGATGCCATTCAAAATCTTCCTTGTTCACAGCAGAAAGGATTCTCTTGTGCCTATCAAAAATTAAACATATCCCTTTCCTATGTCTAAGAACTATCTGCCGAAGGTAATATAGAAAAACAACCCAACTTAATTGATTCTCCTCTTCCATAATAGCAAATGCAATTGGACCAACTACTTATTAGAATCAAAAGCAGTCACCACTAATAGCTTTCCCTTGTACTTTTTATGCAAAAATGTCCCATCAATACTGATGACATATCGACAATATTTAAACTCTTTAATGCTGGCCTTGAATGCCCAAAATGCTCATACAAAAATATTATATTTAGGAGATTCAAAATTGTACTGCCACTTCATAATCAAGCCAATGTTATATTTCTTGATGACACCTAAAAATTTTGGCAACATGTCATATGACGAGTCCCAATCACCGAAAAATAGCCTTGTTCTTTGCAATCCATGTTTTCTTATAGGAAATATCATACTTAAACTTCTTCTTTATATTCTTTTGAATTGTCAACATTTTTGTTTGTGGTATATCACCCACGAGCAAATAGTATATTATGACAAATGAAGTTAGAGTCTAACTGTCGATGGTCACAACTCATTCTAGGGTATAAGCAGGTATGTGGTCCATCATATTTCGTGATGTGAAATATTTTTTAATTTTTTTCTAAAACAAGCATGTAATCTCTACGTGTAGTTAGGATGTATGTACATGATGCATTGTATAGCCCACACTGTTGTGTTCGTCTCGACCACAATAAAATCCTGATTCAGCTTGATGGAATACCATTTAACAGCCCTAATAAATGAAGTTTTATCTTGAAAAACCACGCCCTTCGCTAACTCCATCTTCATCGGATCCCATAAATTATGTTCAGATGACGGTATTAAGCTATCTACTTCAGTATGCTGACCAAATTCAGTGGTTGTGAATGAGCTAGAGTAAGACTTATGCATCTCCACCACCTGAGCAGCCTCAAAGTCTTTGCCATTCCCATCTTCGTCATCCGGCTCAACAATCATTACTTCCTCAAACTCTTCTTCTTCGTCATCATCATCAAAGACATCTATACGATCATTGGCACACATTTCTTCATATTCTTGGATTGGGCTTTGTTGAATTATTAGTTGATGGACATCATTTTGTTCACCCAACTCAATACCCGCCTCACCCATTTGAAAATTCTGACTTAGTGAATTGTTGGCTGAGTATCCACCGTATGTTGCGGTTCTAGTTCTTTGTTGGATGTAAAAGTACTTCCCAAACTCATCCATTACCTGCATGCCCACTGTAGTTGAACATTCACCTATCACACCAAAATTTGAAAATGTCAAGGTACTCATCTCTCGCCTAAGCAACTCAGTGTAAAACATGACAGTTGTTATTATGCACCTTCTAGTCTGACTACTGCCTATGTTAGCATTGATGTTCTCCGTCTCCACGTACAAAGCAATATCAGCAATGCTTGGGTTGTCAAGTACCACATTAACCACAGAAGTAACTAGTTCATCATTCACAATTTTCAGACCGACATATGTATTCATGTTTGGTCTTGTTTCAAGTGTAAAAGGATATCTACAAGTCAACTTCAACTTATTATATGCCTTGTCCAACCCCATTACGGTGTAAATTTTACTCAATAACTTCGGTAGTCGTGTACTAATATTGATAACAATTCCACCTTTGGGAGGACAACTGTATGATAAACCCTCCGATCCATATTCCATTCGTCCACCCCAATATAGCAAAACGATAACTTGTTTTCCCGCCCTTACAATTAGTTTTCGTTGTGGAATAAGTTCCATATTTAGAAGAACCTGGGGATGAAAAAAAAAATAGTTAACACTTCAGGAAGAATAGATTCATAGTTAATCAAAGTCCCATGAAATTTAACGCATGCTACATACAAAAATTGACAAAATAAGAAAATCTTAGGGCTAGAAGTGTAACCAAGCAAAGAAACAAATTGGGAGGTCAAACCAATACCATGAACTTTGATACAAATAGTGACATTGGTGGAGCTTGCTGACTAGGAGACATAACAATAGTGCTATTATTGAGATTGAGAGAGCGAGTAGTTGTTACAACTTTATCATAATTATCAAGACTATCCAACTCAAGCATGACAATATTGGAGTAACTTTATCGTATTAGTTAACATGCATAGTTTGAGGAAAATGTGGTGTTTGATGTCTAAGAGACATAACTATAGTACTTCGATTAAGATGGAGAGAGACATCAAATATAGTTAATATTACTTTTTCTATTCTTTTTAATTAAAATTTTAGTTTCATACAGATGATGAATTACGAAGGACTTAATGAGGAAGGGATGAATGAGTACTTAATAAGATTCAAGGAAATGAATGAGTACATAACAATTTGACCTTTCTTTAGTTCAGTTCGATTGTAATCTAGGGTTTTTTAAATTATAAGATGAACTAAATTTGATTAAGTAACATGTGGCTCGGTTCAAGTGGGTTGAACTTGACTAGAATAAGGTAGGAGTAGGTCAAAACCAACTCTAGTTAAAGGGATTAATGGATAAAAATTTTGGTTGGAGCAATGAAGTTAAACTAATATGGCAACAAAACAATCGTTAAGAGCTATTTGGGTAATTTAACATTTTTAAAAAAAATATTTTTTTAGATAAATTACACTGACACCCCTTATTTTTTCTAACATTTTCACTACACTCTTGTTGCTTTTAAAATTGCATTAACATCCCTGGAGATGTGACTGATTGCAATAGATACCCCTTTAAAGCAAAGACAGTAAGGTTTGCAATAATATAAACAATTTTTTTAACTTAAAGTTCCTATTTTGCCCTCATATTAAAAAATAATTACATAGTAAATTTGTTATAAACATAATAGAAGATTAAATATTCATGAAAACATGAAATAGTTTCAATGACATAGAACCACCATTGAATCACACCTAAAAAAAATCGAATAAAAAACATACAAATAATGTCATTCAATTTTAAAAAACAAAGTAAAATATCACTACTAACTTAGACTAATGCAATTAATCAACACACAAAATTGGATTTAATAAACATAGAACCATTGACATTCATGTAGTGTTTAAATACATGTTAAAACATCATCATTGCTCTTGGTATTCACAACAAAAAAAGACATATGGCTTCTTACTACTAGCATTGCCCTCAATATTCAACAACAAAACAAGCATACAATTTACAACCAAAGTTGTAAACAAAAAATAATAAACACCATTGTGCAAAATTAACAACTTGTATACCTCAACTAGGTAGCATTCGCCTAAACCAACTGCTTTAGCATGTGTTTTATCACCAACATGCCCATTAATATCTGTCAAGGTATACAACTATCTTTAAAAGAAACATGACCATTGATTTTCTGAAATCATAAAATTTCAAATTCATAACTCAATGACAAAAACTCAATAATTTTAACTAATCAATTATCGTGAAAACCCTTTAAAGTAAAAAATTAATTGAACATGTGAAACGAAAATATGGGTTCGAACCGCAAAACCAAACCTTTTGAAACATTGTTTAGATTTCTACATGCATGCCCTAAATAACCCTAATAATTCATACAAACATGATCCATACTGTTAACCCTCCATTAAACAAAAAATACGTTAGAATGGATAGTACCTCACTGTTTGCTCTCCGTCCAAATGATGCAATTGAAGACCGAAAGACTACAACTGGTGGTGGAGGTGGGCTAGTGGAGGTGGTGGTTTTTGTTGGGTATTTCAACTGGTGGTGGAGGTGGGCTGGTGGAGGTGGTGGTTTTTATTGGGTATTTCAACTGGTGGTGGATGTGGGCTGGTGGCTGTGGTGGTTTTCGTTGGGATTTCAGATGGTGGTGGAGGTGGTCGTTTACCTTGGGGATTTTAGCTGGTGGTGGATGTGGGTTGATGGTGAATGCTGGGTTTTAGCTGGTGGTGGAGGGGGGCTGATGGTGAAAGTTGGTGATTGATTTCACCGATTGAAGGCTGGTGATTGATTTTGTCGATTTCGCCTAGGGCTCAGATAGAATTGGGGGAAGAAGAGAGAAAGAAAGAAGAGGGAAAGGAAAGAAGAAAATGAGATTTCAAATTGCCTAAAAAACTTCAGTCCAAATGATATTTTTTGTGAAAATATCATTTGTACTGACGTTTTTAGGTATTTTGCTTGGCCATAGTGTTCCAAAAAAAAGTCAATTTGTCTGACGTTTTTAATGTAAATACATTGACGTTTTTAAAAATTTATGTGTATGAAAAATATTTTTAAATCAACCATTATTTAAGACTTTTTTTCAAAATCCCTTAGGGGTAAAAGCTCCAAATAAAATTTTGAAGGATCCAAACACAAAATGATTCTTCGAAATGAAGGCGTTGACTTCTAACTGGACCATTCACCTTTATGTAACTTCAATAAATTAAGGCCAAGTACTGTCTAATTCTTTTAAGAAACTACAGAAAATTAAACAAACTTACCTCATTTTGTCCTTTAAAACCAGGCCAAACAAACTGTTTTACTTCCAAACTCGCTCTTCCATTTCTCACAATTCAGCACTTATCATGGTTTCTCTGAGCTGCTCCGTCTCCGACCTCGTCCCCCTCCTAGGCAGCGCCACCAACGCCACTGAGGCGGCAAATTTCATCTGCAACCAATTCGACAGTGTCTCTTCCACACTCTCCGACGCCGCCTACGCCATAGACAACACGTACCTCCTCTTTTCTGCCTACCTAGTCTTTGCCATGCAGCTCGGTTTTGCCATGCTCTGTGCTGGCTCGGTCCGTGCTAAAAACACCATGAACATCATGCTTACCAATGTCCTCGATGCAGCTGCTGGTGGCCTCTCCTACTACCTCTTCGGCTACGCCTTTGCCTTCGGTGGCCCCTCCAACGGCTTCATCGGCCGCCACTTCTTTGGCCTCAAAGATGTTCCTTCGCCAGCCGGTGACTACAGCTTCTTTCTCTACCAGTGGGCTTTTGCCATAGCCGCTGCAGGTAGTGTTTACAATCTGCCAACAGTTTTTTGTCGCGAAACTATTCCTGTTCTCATTTTGTCACAAGATTTTTATTGACAACTAACAAGGCGTCATTGGGTTGCCACTAAAAGTTCATCGCTAAATTCAATTAGTGGCTAAAATAGAAAAATCTGAAAAGATTGGGCACCAAAGGGTCCAAAACCCATATTTGTTTTAGTTCTAAGCAAGATCTTTTTTGTAACTGAAAGTGTCTATTGCTTCTTTCAGGTATCACAAGTGGCTCCATAGCCGAGCGAACCCAGTTCGTGGCCTACCTCATATACTCATCATTCTTGACTGGCTTTGTCTACCCGGTAGTTTCACACTGGTTTTGGTCGGGTGACGGTTGGGCAAGCGCGTCCCGGACCAACAAAAATCTTCTTTTCGGGTCAGGAGTCATTGACTTTGCCGGTTCAGGTGTGGTCCATATGGTAGGAGGCATTGCCGGACTCTGGGGAGCCTTAATTGAAGGACCAAGAATAGGTCGGTTCGACCGCGCCGGCCGGTCCGTTGCCTTACGTGGTCACAGTGCTTCACTTGTGGTATTAGGTTCTTTCCTGCTATGGTTTGGCTGGTATGGGTTCAACCCGGGTTCTTTTTTGACCATCATGAAATCTTACGGTACTAGGAGGACTTATTATGGCCAATGGAGTGCGGTTGGAAGGACAGCTGTCACAACCACGTTGGCTGGATGTACAGCTGCTCTCACTACCTTGTTTGGCAAAAGATTACTTGCTGGCCATTGGAATGTCACTGATGTTTGCAATGGCTTATTGGGTGGTTTTGCTGCTATCACCTCAGGGTGTTCCGTGGTGGAACCGTGGGCAGCTATTGTCTGTGGCTTCGTGGCGGCTTGGGTTTTGATCGGGTGTAACAAGATTGCAGAGAAATTTAAGTACGATGACCCGCTCGAGGCGGCTCAACTCCACGGTGGGTGCGGCGCGTGGGGACTGCTCTTCACTGGATTATTTGCGAGGAAGGAATATGTCAACGAGGTGTATCAAGGGCAGGTGGGGAGGCCGTATGGATTGTTCATGGGTGGTGGTGGGAAGCTATTTGCTGCTCAAATTATTCAAATATTGGTGATCATAGGATGGGTGACAGCCACTATGGCCCCACTTTTCTATGTGCTAAACAAATTGAAATTGCTAAGGATCTCAAAGGAGGATGAAATGGCAGGAATGGATCTAACCAGGCATGGTGGATTTGCTTACATATATCATGATGAAGATGATCTCTCCGTTGTGCCTGGGTTTATGATGAGGAAAATAGAGCCTAGTAATAGTCCAGCGCCAAATCAAAATTCACCATCCTCAGCTGTGTGACAACTGCCCTCTAGAGAAGCACTATATCATGCGCCAATTATGACGGGATTAGGTAGTAGTTGGTCTGAGTAGAAAGTCAAAGTTTAGTTTCTCCATCATTGGTGCTTGGATTATACGTATGGTCTTCTAACAATTGGCTTAGGAATGTATTATACAATATATTTATGAAAGTATGAGGTTCTCTCTCCCCCAAAAAAAAAAAAAAAAACAATTGAGTTTGAGTTTTGTATTGTACACCTTGTTCACTAAATAGGATTAGTATGTAAAATGGACTTTATATACTGGATTACTTGTGCCTCGTCTCATTTGACTTCCAAGTTTCTCAAATGAGTTCTCTTTTTGTCTTTTGTTGCGCGCACCATAGATTATTGTATATTTTCAATTTTTTATAATGAATAATTATCTTAACCAAGTGTTTCCGTATTCATAGTTGTACTGCAAGTTATGGAGCTTTATATCTGCTCCTACAATACACACATCAAATAAACTCTGGATGTATATAACTCCTCTATTGGAGAAAATGGAGCTTGTATGTGGCATTGTACACGGTTAATTTAAAGTATGAATGTCAAATAAACTAGCTTTATAAATAAGCAGGAGAGTATTCGGTAACATTTGCTTACACCATATCTATACTACTTCTAAAAGTGACTTAAGAAGAAAATTTTTTGATTTCTTTATTTACCCTTCAATAACTCTATAATATTATATTTATCCTTTCACTCATTGTTGCCTGATAATATTCTTACCTTAAAAAAATAATTTTTGTAACTTAAAAACAGTGCACGTTACTTCACCATTCAAGTGTCCCTCTAGCTTGTCCTCTCTCCCTCTTTCTCTTTCTCTCTCTTTCTCACACACACAAAACTCCAGTTCAACGGTTACTCCTTCCAAGTTAGTTGATGGTGTATTTCAACGTAGATGAGCTTAAGATGCAGATAACGTGAGATGAGCGTGAATCAGAAGCTTCGAGGCTCGTGTATGATGCTACGATAAAATATTCGGGAGATTAAAGGGATGTACACAGTGAAAATATAGTGGTTCATCAGCTCAAGAGCTTGACTAATCCACTCTTCAATGGAGATTCTCGCTTCTTCTTTCACTATTTACTATACCAAAAGGTTTACAGACTGTAATATGTGATACCAGGGTCCTCCCTCTCCTTGGGGGCGTGACATAGTATTTATAGGGCTGTTCCTTATTCAGTGGGATTTTGGCTGAGATTCTTGCCCTTATTTCGTGAGGTTCTCCTTAATTCTAGGAGAAGATCTTGGTTGGTTGAGATTAGGTGTCTTGATTATAGCTTTCTAACGCTTTAGGAACCTCTCGTGGTTATCTAGTCGTTGCCTTGCCTCAAGAAACATTCAGCCCTTGCCTTCTGATCTCAATTAATATGGCTGACCTACCGGTCTGAGCTGAACTCCTGAGCTAACCTCAGTTACTTTAGGCTGACCTCAGTTACTTTAGGCATCATCAGTTGTCCCCCAACCCTTGGCCCAAGCGAGCTTGGGCATGGGCTGAGCTGCTTTCGCATTGGACCAGGCCTACGCTTAGCTGACCTTAGTCCGTATGTGAGATGCACGTGAAGGGGCTCTTTGACGGATTACAGTAATCATGGCTTCCTCGATTCCCGCACATATTTCAACCCGCGTCACTCAATCTTTAAATGCTCAGTCGGCTACTCAAAAAATCGCTCAAAACTCCCTATTCGTCTTCTACGTTGTTCACCTTTGTCTCTGGCTCTTTCTCTCTGCGATTTCTGGGTTTTCCTCCACGCGATTCTCTTATTCTCTGCTCAAAACTGTACTTTCTAGGTTCGACTCGAAGTCCTGATTTGCTCTTCTCCTCCAATTTTGTTCTTTGGCTGCTGTTTGTTGCTCTCTTCCCTGTCTAGGTACGCTTCCTTCTGCCCCTTTCTCTTTCTCTTTCCTTTCCTTACTCTGGATCCCTCGATTTCGAGGTGACCATTGTTTTTCTAGGTTTTTTGATTCTTTTTCTTTTGGAATCGCGATCGTTGTCTATCTCCTCTTCCCCGCTTTGTGGATTAGAACTCCACTGTGCAAATTCTTACTGTCGGGACGTACAGTGCTGACCCTAGGATTATCAGGGGTGTTTAGTTAGTATTCCTCCTTTTTATAATTCTTTCGATTTGACTTTCTCTTTGCCAATCATGCCTGCCTCCTCTGGAGCAACTCCCTCCTCTGTTTCCCTCCTACGTGACAGGTCTGCCTAGAGAGATTCTAATTTAGGGGATGTAGGTAATGAGATTGACAACTTCCCTGGTGTTGAGGCTATCGATACCGAGGTGGACTCCAAGGAACTCCCCTCATCTTCCTCTCATGTACCTCCTAGTGTTGACAAGGGTAAGGGCAAGGTGAGTGAGGTTGGGATTCCTGATAGTACAACGGGTATGGGGGCTGCCTTCAGGCATGCTGAGCTCGTGGGTCCTAGTGGGGTGGATCCTATTCTCATGGAAGCTCTTAGTGCTCGTTTTGGTTTTTTCCTTGGTGTTCAACCCTGGTGCCCGGATAAACTCACTCTATACGTTGTCCAAGTACACAAAAGAGTTTGTTTCTTTGTGGCCATTTTTGAGAATGACCTTCGTTTTCCTATGCACCCTTCATCAAAAATGTTCTGTAGCACCTCAATGTCTGCCCTGCTTAGCTTTCTCCTAACTTCTGGGGTGTTTTAGTAGGTCTTTTAGTTTTCTTTAAGAAGCATGGGCTTGGGACTCCCACCATTTCTCTGCTTATGGACCTTTTCAATGTCAAGCTTACATCAACTGAGGGCTTTCTATATGTTTCTAGGCGGACCTCGTCTAGGCAGATCATCACACACCTCCCGAGTTCTTATAAAGGCTGGAAAAAAAATTTCTTTTTCGTTGGGGGTGTCAACTGGGAGTACAACCCTGCTGATAAAATAGACACTCTTGGGATTCCCAAAGCCTGGTTAGCCCCATATAACTTAGGTGAGTTTTTGCCTGACTGAACTACGATTTGAAGATTTATGAGTTGTTTTCCTAACCTCTGCATTTTTGGTGTTCCCCCTTTCTTAGGCATTCGACCTAAACTCAGCACCGAGGACAAGCGGGTGAAACTGAAGTTGGCTAAGTGTAATCCAAAGAGGTACTTTGAGCTCCTTAAGCCCTGGGAATAAGAAAGGCAGAGATTCGGCCCTCCTCTAATCCCACTTTCCTTTATCCGACCTGAGGACATAGAAGGTAATGCTCTTTCCTTTATTTGGTTTCATTGCTTTTCTTTCTTTCTTTTTCCTTTTGACTAACCAGCTCAAGCCAAATCTCCCAGGGTCTTCTACAATGAAGCCTACCCCTGAGATGCTCCAAGCTAAGGTAGAGCTATTGAAGAAGAAAAACAAGGGTGGTACCAAGCGCAAGGCTGAGGGCAGTTCTGGTGGGAGCCTAGTTACTCGAGCTAAGGTTCAGAAACTGGGTACTTCCTTTGCCTCTGCCTCTATCCAGAAGGCTCCACCATCCCCTCTACATGCTTCACCAACCTCAGGACTTCCTCTCTTCAAGGGACCTAACCTGCCACTAAAGATGCTCTTGGGCGAGACTAGTCCTCCTCTTCTGTATCTGAAGTTGAGAGGGCCCTGGAGACTGCTCGCACTTTCCCTGGTCGTGCTGTATCTGCATCAACTAATAAGACCTCCCAACCTCTCATGACAAGCAAAGGGGTCTTCTCGAAGTCTAAGAATTCTCTTATTACCGATGTGAAACGTGCTGCAGAGGCCATTGCCTCCATTATCCCAGAGTCTAACATTGATGCGACCACTTTTGTACTTCTGGGAACCTGTGTTTCCACTGCGCTGTATGACTGTATCTCGGTGAGATTCTAATTTTTTAAATTCTCCCATTTTTTTTGGTTGTCCTGTGCTCTTCCCTTTACACTAATCTTTCATGCTTGTCTTCAGATCGCCATTCAAATAAGCAGCTTATTAAAGCGAATCCAAGCCCTGGAGGGGTCGGCCAATGCTTCCAAAGCTTTTGAGCTGAAGTGTGTCAATTTGGCCTTTGAGAATAATGACCTTAAGGTCTAGGTAAAGGAGTTGCAAGAGCAAGTGGAACAACAGTCTTCCCTTGCCAAGTCTAGACAAGAGGGGCTCAGCAAGACTAAGGAAGACCTTCGATTAAAAATCGATGACTAAATCGAGGAGAGCCAGAAGTCCCTTGATGCTCTGGTTTCCTTGAAGAACATGAAGAGGGAGTACGCGGTGCTAGCAGAGGCCAATGATGCTGTCAGGGAGGAGTTAGGGGCTGCTAGGGAGGCGCTGGAGGTGGAAGACACTACCATTCGAAAAAAAGATGAGCTGATTGCCCAGCTAGAGGATGACGTTCTCACCAGGTGGGCAAAAGGGTTGATTGTTTTCCAAGGTATAGCTAAAAGAACTTACCCTGAACTGAACTTTGACTTTTTAATTCCCCTGAGGAAGAGGCTGAGGGGTTTGATGAAGAAGAGGATGATGCTCCTGCTCCTCCTGTTTCTAAAGATGTGCCTATAGACTCTAGAGGGCTCATTCCTCTAGTTGGGACTTCAGCTCAAGATGCTTCTGCCTCCTTAAGCATCTCTACTCCTCTGGCTATTGAGCCTGCTTCTTCCCTCCCTGCTGAGCTAGCCACAAGAGCCTTGGTTGAATCTGAGGTCCCTGCCTCTTTGCCTACTCTTGGCCCTCCTGAAACTTCAACTGTTGCTGTGCTAGAGAGGTCGCCTGCTGAGCTGGAGAGCCCTTCTTCCATTCCTCGTGTTGAGACATCAGCTACTGCACTACAGGGCCCTTCATCTACTCTCCCTTCAAAAACTTAGGATTTTAGCTTTGGGCTAATTATCTCAGAATTGTAACATTTTGAAACGAAAATTTCAGAATTGTAGCATTTTGTATCTTTAATTTACTGCTTATAGCTCTCCTTCTTTCCCTTTGCTTTTAATTTGTTGCTCTACTCTACCATCAATCGAATATAATATTCCTCAACTCTTTGCCCCCTTTGCTTCAAGGGGTCATTCAGATCTCCTTGAAGTAAAAAGATTAGGAATAACTGCTGATGTGCCTAGCTGAGCTTCTAGCTTCTCATCTTGCTTCTGTCCGAACTCCAGCAACTGACCACCAGAGCCCTGACCTTACTTCATCCTCAAAGATTTAGGATATGA